GCCGCCTGAGGCCCGGCCTGTGGTGTGGCCGCGTGTCCAGGCTCGGGGGGATTTCGGGTTAGGGTTGCAGGTTGCACACCCGTCCCTCCTGACGTGCAAGTTCCGCTCGCGCCCACTCCCCTCACTCACTGTCCGAGGGACGAGGGCGTCCGGCGGCTGTCACGGCGCTGCAGGAGCAGCGGGGTGGCGGTGGGGCGCAGCTGCAGGGGCGCCGGCTCATGCCAGCCGACGTGAAGTCCGCCTCAGGTGGAGGAACCACTCCCGGAACAGCTGAACAACCTGCCTGCTTCACAGAGCTGTCTCTTAAAAGGCGCCAGCTGGTACTTTTAAAATCTTTGAATTTGGTGCCTAAATCGGCGCGGCCCAATGAGGCGCGTCGCTCGCACTCGCGGACCAATAGGAGAGCGGTTGGAGGGGGAGCCCTCATCCGTACCCAATTGGAGGCTGCCGAGGCGGGGCTGAACCGCGAAGCCCAGCCCCCTCCCAACTTACCGGTTCCCCTAGTCCGGAAAGATGCTGCGGCCGGGGGCGGGACCTCCGAGCGCGGGGAGGCCACGGCCCGGCCACACGTGAGGGGGGCCTACCACGCATGCGTGCGCCCGCCAAGGTTCCCTTTGCAGTCTTCCGGACTGGCCTCCTGCAAGTCCTAATCTCAGCCCAAATTCAGCGCCGGCCTCCATTTGGAGATCTTCGATGGGTACAAATGTTAGCCGATTTTCTTCGATCATCTCTCGAGCGGGAGTTCGGTGAGCGGCAATTCGGCTCGTCCGGGAATCCAGACTTTCCGGAAGACGAAGCCCGGTTTAGCCCGCCTCTCTAGGATTTACGCGCGCACTCCGCTCTGCCTCCTAAATCGCCCCTCCCCCTGACCCACACCTCTGCGCAGGCGCCTTGGCGGGCTGTGGCTACGGAGTTGGCGGGTCGGCGCCTGCGCGCTGGGGTCCCCCGCGATTTACCCGGGGAGGGCGAGGGCGGACCACAGCGAGGAGCTGTGCGGCCCTTTGCTCTGCCCTGACTGCAGCTGTGGCGGGAGATCTGCGGCTGCGTCTTCCAGGGCCTTAAGGGGAGGCCGAGGGTGGGACCGAAGCACTTCTTCCTTGTAGGCGCATTTATTTGTATTTTAAACCACACTTCAGACGCTGTTTTTTATAGGAACGTTAAGTTTACTAGTGTGCACAAACGCTCTCCTGGGTTCTTGTCCTTAGCCGTCAAGGGCCAAGCGCCGGAGACTGTAGTCCTATTCCCAAGAATAAATAGGCTGGAGCCTCCTGGCCAAGGGAATTTTTTTTTTTTTTGAGACGCAGTTTCGCTCTTGTTACCCAGGCTGGAGTGCAATGGCGCGACCTCGGCTCACCGCAACCTCCGCCTCCTGGGTTCAGGCAATTCTCCTGCCTCAGCCTCCTGAGTAGCTGGGATTACAGGCACACGCCACCATGCCCAGCTAATTTTTTTTGCATTTTTAGTAGAGACGGGGTTTTACCATGTTGGCCAGGATGGTCTCGATATCCTGACCTCGTGATCCACCCGCCTCGGCCTCCCAAAGTGCTGGGATTACAGGCTTGAGCCACCGCGCCCGGCCGGGAATTTTTTTTAGTGATAGTTGGCATGGATGTCAGTATGGAAGTGTACCGGAGAATTAGTGATGCTCAACTTTTCACAATGTGAATATGCACTTAGGGCAGTGCATTCCCTGAACTCAGCTTTATGGCTACAGCCCAGTGAAGCAACAGGATGTGAGCTCCAAAAAGGCGAATCCTCATTTGCTGTTTCCCTCTGTTGCCTTTCTGCAGCCTCGGAGTGAGTTCTTGGCTGTAGTAACTGCACAGTACCATTAGTGGCAGTCCCATGTGGCGCGGCCAGGATTAAGATTAATCATACAAGTGCTGGGTGGATCCTGGTTTACCTAAAATTTTGATAATTAGTTCATCATGGGTTATTTGCCTTTTTTTTTTTTTGAGACGGAGTTTCGCTCTGTAGCCAGGCTGGAGTGCCGTGGCATGATCTCGGCTCACCGCAACCTCCGCCTCCTGAGTTCAAGTGATTCTCCTGCCTCAGCTTCCCGAGTAGCCGGACTACAGGTGCGCGCCACCACGCCCTGCTAATTTTTGTATTTTTAGTAGAGTTGGGGTTTCACCATGTTGGCCAGGATGGTCTCGATCTCCTGACCTCGTGATCCGCCTGCCTCACCTCCCAAAGTGCTGGGATTACAGGTGTGAGGCACTGCGCCTGCCCTGCCTGTTTTGTTTTTAAAAATTTTACATTAAAATCGTGTCAGTCTTGATTATTGACATTTTTTTCCATCTCATAAATGCACCAGAGGCCTGCGCTTCACTTGCCTTTCCCTAGCCTGGCCTTGGCTGGAGCTAGGTCCTGGAGATTCAGGGTTGAAAAGACAAAGTCCTGTCCTTCAGGGAGTTTACAGCGACAAATGAGTATAGATTAAGGATTTTGGACGGTCAGGACGCTTTCTGAGACTTTGGACCCAGATGTGAGTGTTAAACTGGCAATGCAGAGCTGCATAATAAGCAGAGGGAAAAATAAGCAGAGGGAATCCCTGATTAGAACTTAGTGAGCAAGAAAGAGGAGATTAGATTAGAGAAGTAGAAACCAGATCCTGTGGGACTTTATAGTTTTTCCATGTAGAGTTTAGACTTTGTTCTGATTGCAGTGGTTGGCTTTTGGAAGGATTTTGGCAAGGGAGTTATTTGTTGATAGAATATTAAAACTACAATAGCTTTTTAATGCAAAAAAGAATGTAAATCTTAGCCTTTCATTCTCACAATAATTTAGCATTATTTTCAGTGTATAATGATTGTGCTTCTCAGTGTAAATTAATTCTCACTGTGGCTACCAGAACCACACAGCCAGTAAGCAGAGATTCCAGTGCCAGTCTGCAGGGTTCAAAATGTCCCTGTCATTTCCTTTTATACTATGCTAACCTACAACACTATTTGTTGGAAACTTGGTTGCTTTTAGTACATTTCACATTACTTCACAATTTGACCTTAGAGATCCTTATTCACCTCTTTTATTTTCAGATGCTGGCAGAAATACAAAATTCATCGCAGACAAAGATTCTCATTAAATTATTTTTATTTTTTTTTGAGACAGAGTCTCTCTCAGTAGCCCAGGCTGGAGGGCAGTGGTCCAATCTCGGCTCACTGTAACCCCTGCCTCCCAGGTTCAGGGGATTCTCCTGCCTCAGCCTCCCAAGTAGCTGGGATTATAGGCGTGTCCCACCACGCCTGGCTACTTTTTGTATTTTAAGTAGAGATAGGGTTTCACCTCATTGGCCAGGCCGGTCTCAAACTCCTGACCTCAACTGATCCCCGCCTCTGCCTCCCAAAGTGCTGGGATTACAGGTGTGAGCCACCGGCTCATTAAATTAGCTGAGCATTTGGAATACAACCTTTGGATCTTATTCTCAGTTTAGATGTGTTTTTCAGCAGTTTTTTTTATTCTCCAGACAAAGGCTGACATATTATTGGAGAAATCAAAATTTCTGTAATAGAACCAAGCATGTTTTGTTGCATACTGGAATAATTTGTCAGCTTTTTCCAGTTTATTGGGTTACTGAATCATTGACTTTAAATGGAATTTGAGCTTTATGATAAAATATTATTCATAACTGTTAACATGTTCAGTTCACTGGCACCTGTTTATTCTCATCTAAGTGAGAAACTTAGGGCCACTCAGGTGGGATGTGATGGCTCATGCATGTAACCCCCGCACTTGGGGAGGCAGAGGCAGGAAGATTGAGCCCAGGAGTCAACATGGCAAAACCCATCTCTACTGAAAACAAATAAAGCAAAAATTAGTCAGACATGGTGGTGTACACCTGTAGTCCCAGCTACTTGGGAGGCCAAAGTGGGAGGATAGCTTGAGCCCAGAGGCGGAGGTTGTGGTGAGCTGAGATTGCATCACTGCACTCCAGCCTGGTGACCAAAAAAAAAAAGGCAGGGGGACATTCTGAATTTTATTATATGCCAGATGTGTATACCTCATTTTTCAAATCAGCATCAATTAGCTTTTGGGTGTTTAGGTGGAACATAAAGTGCAGAGAGAACTGCCCTCATTCTTTCATAAAATTCTTATTGCAGACCTACCACATGCAAGACATCCTGGGATATACGGAAATAATTGGGACATGATACCTGCCCTTGTGCTTACTCTCTGTGAGCTTACCACCTAATAGACATAATAGATGTTCAGTAAATAATTTCTGAATACGAATCATGAGGCATGTGTGTGAGGATAAGATCTATAAAATAAAGCTACAGAGAACACTGGATGAGTCAAATACATTTAAATTTGTGGGAATTTTGGCCGGGTGTGGTGGCTCACACCTGTAATCCCAGCACTTTGGGAGGCCAACGCAGGCGGATCACCCGAGGTCAGGAGTTCGATACCAGCCTAGCCAACATTGTGAAACCCCATCTCTATTAAAAGTACAAAAAATTAGCTGTGTGTGGTGGCGGGCGCCTGTAATCCCAGCTTCTTGGGAGGCTGAGGTAGGAGAATTATTTGGACCTAGGTGGCAGTGGTTGCAGTGAGCTGAGATTGCGCCATTGCACTCCAGCCTGGGCAACAAGAAAAAAAATTTGTGTAAATTTTCATAGGAAAAAGCAGTTACTTCTATGTACCAGGAAAAGGGAATAATCTATAGTACAGGGTTTCTTAACCTCAGCACATTTTGGGCCAGATAAGTCTTATAGGGTGTTTAGCAGCATCTCTATTATTCCTTCTTCCAGTGGTGATAACTGTTTCTAAACATTGCCAGATGTCCCCTGGGGGGCAAAAGGCCTCTGGATGAGAACCATGGCTGTAGGGGATGTCTTTTGAAGAAACAGGGACAAAGGAGGCCTACAGCATAAAGAACAAAATAAGGGAAAGGGTAAATGCAGTTGCATTTTTCAGGATGAATTAATTTGATGTGGCATAAGGGAGCTGGTATGTAAAATGAGCTAACACAAAATGATGGTGGACACAGATCATGGATGTAATGTATGCACAGTAAAGAGCTGGTTTTATTTGGGAGGCAATGGGACCTTTTACATTGTTGCGCAAAGGAGTGATGAGATCAGAGTCTTGCTTTTTAGAAAGATTAGTTTGGCAGTTATTTGTAACCATAATTAGACAGCAAATAGAGAGGATGCGGGGAGAAGTCAGGTGACTATTAGGCTGAGAAGTAATTCTGGATAAGTGGTAATGGAATTGAAAAGGATTAAAAGTATTTACTAGGATTTAGCAATAAATCCAATGCAAGGAAGAGGAACTTAAGGTGTCATTTTAAATTTGAGATGGTAGTATCATTGAAAGCTAATGAATTTTGATTAACTGGCACTTCAGGCTTTTGAAATTAAGTTGAATTTTGGTTCTTTATGAACAGTACACCAGATTACTAGACAGATACTTCAGATATGTTTTTAGCGATCTACTTAGTGCCTACTATAGTATGGTGTTAGGTCCCGAACAGACAAGAATGAAGAAAACACAATCTTATCCACAGTGACACTGTGAAAGGTAGCAGTAACTTGTTTGTGCATACCCTGATCTACCCTTTCCCATTTCTTTATTAAGCACAGAATACTGAGACCAGAATAAAGCAGTACATATATTACCTTGTGATAAATGTTCAGGTATGGTATCTTCATTTTGTGTTGCTATAACAGAATACAGGAGATTGGGTAATTTATGAAGAACAGAAATATATTTCCCACAATTCTGGAGGATGGGATGTCTAAGTTCAAGGAGCTGGCAGTTGTTTGACTAGGGTTTTCTTGCTGTCTTCTCACATACAGAAGGCAAGCTAGCAGGATGCTCCCTGAGGTCTCTGGGCCTTAATCCCAATCCTGAGAGCGAATCCCTCATGGCCTAGTGACCTCTTAAAGGCCCCACCTATTGCCAATGCTATCACATTGGCAACACTTGAATTTGAGGGGACATATTCAAGCCATAGCACACCAAACATTTCTTCTTTGCCAGGTAGCACCACGTTCTGTCAGTAGGTGGCGGTGGAAGGGCACTGCAGGATAAAGGGGCTTGCTTCTCTTGCTTCTCCTCTTGCTTTTAAGAGGATACTGTGACAGTTTATGTGTCAAGTTGGCTGGACCACAAGGTGCCTTTTTTTTTTTTTTTTTTTTTAGGAGATTTTAACTTTTGCTCTGATTTTCCAGTTATAAGGCCAGACATTCTGGGTGTTTCTATGAGGGTATTTTTACATGAGATTGGCATTTAAATCAGTGAACTTCGAGTAAAGCAGACCACCTTGCTCAATATTAGTAGGCTTGATCCAATCAGGTAAAGGCCTAAAGAAAAAGACTGTCCTCTTCCAAGAAAGAGAATCCTCCAATAGATACCTTGATACCTTTGGACTGAACCAGCACCATCAGCTTTCCTGGGTCTCCAGCCGTCTGGCTCACACTCCAGCTTTTGGATTTGTCAGTTAATAATAATCACACAAGCCAATCCTTTTAAGGGAGTTTCTTTGGGGAACCTTGACAAATACAAACATCTACTGAGAGTTCCTGTTAAGTTTTGCTCATACCCTAGCAGGAGGCTTCTGGCTTAGCAGTCCTGAGGATGTGAGGTTCTTCGCTTGCAGGACCTGATCCACCATCTATACACCAACTCTGGCCAAGGGCAAGGCAGGGAATTTTCCCATTACTGAGTAGCCATACTCTCTCCATTAGGCCTGATTTCACCATGGGGAATGGGAGCCCCTTCCAAGGGTATTCTTTCCTTGGGAAATCTCCGTCCTAGGACATTATAGCTCGTTTTTATCCCTCTTAATAGCTAATATCATTGTCAGTTAAAAGTTTTTTATATTGAGTTATTCCTGTTTAAGTTAATGGTATGGTTTCTGTCTCCTGACTAGATATTACGATACAATATTTACTGTCCTATTTCTACTACTTTACGTTTAAAGTTTTTCATAATAAAGATTTAAACTGACTTTTTGATCATTCAGTATTTTCATAGAACTAGACAAAGGATGATTTTCCTTTGTCTACTTATTGCAAGGAAGCATCCAAGATTTACACCATGTCATGATTACAAGTGGTCGCCAACTTACGATGGTTTTAGAATTATTTGACTTTCTGATGGGTTTATCGAGATGTAGCCCCATTTCAAGCTTAGGAGCTCCTTAGGACTTAACAAATCATACCTCTTTCACACCATGGTAAAGTTGGAAAATTGTTAAGTCAAGCTGTTACTAAGTAGGAGACTGTTGTGTTGCTAATGTTAGATACATTTTTAGTTTATGATGGGTTTATTGGGAAGGAACCACAATGTAAATCAAGGACCATCTACATATTGTATGATTTGTATTAAATGCATTGAGAGAGATCTATGTAAATTATCTATGACTTCAGAATATGCATTACTTCCTAATGTGTTAACTCATGTTTTTTTAAGAGAATAACGGTATTTTCACACTATGTGGATGTGCTGTAGTAGACTTTTTTTAAGCTACAAAAGTCTATAAATAAATCAACTTAAACTGTTTTGGGAAATAATTTCTACTAAAGATTCATAATCAGCATACTCCTTCAATGACTGTACAAGTTCATCCAGTAGATAATCTCCTTGCATAAAAGTTTGAAGATCATGCAGTGACTTGCTTATTCTGTGATCTGTGACCCGGTTCTGTGGAAAATTATATGTTCTTATTTTCTCGGATCTTCCTTTACTTCCAATCTGTATATAGGAAAAAAAAAAGATGAGATGTTGTTAGATTCGGGCAGTTTAAACCTACAAATTTAACTTATTTGAAAACTAAGTTCTTGATTTATAACATGAATCAAAATGCAAGAACCAGGTTTTAAAGAATCTCCAAATGACATGGCAACTGATATAGAAAAAAGAACATCTGCTCTACAGTCAGATTATTATCTGAATCCTACCTTAGCCATTTCAATGTTCCATGACTTCAGGCAACTTAAGTTTCCCCATCTGCAAAATACTGTGTCTACTACACAGTGATGATGAGTACAGAGCCTGGCACATGGTTGCTATTCCTATAGTCACTGAATACATATAATCTCTGTGAATTAATGCAGACATCTTCATTGGTAACAAGGTGGTGAGTTTTCCATATTGAGGAATTCTTAAAAGGCTCTGTAGTTATAAAAAATACCAGCTGGGCTCAGTGGCTCACGCCTGTAATCCCTGCACTTTGTGAGGCTGAGTTTGGCAGATCACCTGAGGTCAGGAGTTTGAGATCAGCCTGCCTAACAGGACAAAATCCTGTCTCTAATAAAAATACAGTAAGCCAGGCGTGGTGGCACATGCCTGTAATCCCAGCTACTCGGAAGGCTGAGGGCAGGAGAATTGCTTGAACCCTGAAGGCAGAGATTACAGTGAGCTGAGATTGTGTCACTGCACTATCGTTTGGGCAACAGAGAGAAACTCCGTCTCAAAAAAAAAAAAAAAAAATTAAATACCAAACAGGGAGAAAGCCAAGTTGAGTCTGCTTTCCAACTTTCTTGCATAATTATAATTTCAAAGGATTAAAACTGAATGAGGACTCAGTACATATCTTTACTTTTAGTAACTGATTAAAAGTCTGAGAAAAATACTTCTGAATACAGAAAACAGGCAGAGGTTTAAGATTACTATCAAACAAGTATAGCCCTTAGACTATTTGAATTGTTTAAACACAGATTGAAACAAATATGATGTGTAAAAACCAGGTTATTAAAAAAAGCTGTTATATAAAAATATGTCTATCCTTTAAAAGCATTTTTACAATTCATTTTTACCTGAATTTTTCTAGCATTGTCTCTCTTATTTGTTTCTTCTTCTAGATGCATGCTGTACAGTTTTGCACGTAACTTTTTCATAGCCAGCTCTTTATTTTTCAGTTGAGATCTCTCTTGTTGACATTCAGAAACAACACCTGAATAGTGTTACGAGAATTAAAAAGTTTTAATAGAAAAATCTTCTTTACTTATTATCAAGGAATATTCCTTTTCCTTCTCAGCCTTTTTCTTCTTCCTTTATGAGGGAAAAAACAGGACTCTAAGAAAAAAGGGAGAGACTATAGACTTAACTTTTGCAAAGTTTATCAGGAAACTGAAAATTTAAGTTTAAGCGATAGCACAAAGTACTTCTATACTGAAGGCATACATACTAAACTATAAGCATTAATCATTTAATATGGATTGTTTCCCCTCAGCTAGCCACCATGTTTTGAAAGTAACAACTACTTATAGAAACTAAGATATTGAAAAATCCTATTACTAGAGAAAAATCACTTAATTTTTTTTAGGATATCCATTTTTCCTCGATTTCTGTTTCATCTTCTGTATTACCTAAGACATATCCAGTTTAACATGAGGATATTCTCATAATTAAAAGAACAAAATCACAGCAATCCAATACTCTCCTCAACCACTGTTAGTTAATAGGGATTACGCCCATTTGAAATTAGTCCTAGTAGGAAATTCTTGTTTCCTTTCTAGATAAGTGAGATTTGCTACCCATGTGCTCTTTATCACATGTACTCACTGAAAGGCGTTTAGTTCAACCTACTAAGTATACTGGAGACTTAAAAATTTGGATAAAGTCCCTTTGCCTAACTATCTAGAATCAGATCCCCTGGAGGTCTGTGAATGAACTTAATGGAAAGAAGCCCCTGTAATTATATGCAAAACTGTATATATGTTTCTGGGTAGGAGGTCCAATGCTTTTCATATCATTTTTAAAGGAGGCCATGTTCCCCTCCCCTGCAAAAAGGCTCAGAACCAATGACTTGGAGCATTTTCTGATAAAAAAAAAACTCATGATAATTACTTTGCTGTGAGGATTCTCTTTTTAAGTATAAACTTCAGAAGTCTGCCTGGAAGGACCATCCACACCTTCTATAGTCATTAATGCAGACATTCCCTGAGTTTGGATCCCTCCCTCTTCCTGGCCTTTCAATTATCCCACAGAGAATCAGGTAAGGATTCTAAGTAAATCACCCATTTAATAACAGTCCTTAGTGGTACATATTCCTCTGGTAACCAAGGATCTATTTCAGTGGAAAATTAGTCAAATTATTCCAAAATGGATTTCTTTTGTGTCATATGTTGAAGGAATAAGCACACACCTGTTGGAAGATGAACTATTCGGACAGCACTGTCTGTTGTATTTACATGCTGCCCCCCAGCTCCACTGGCTCGCTTAGTGTCAATTCTCAAATCTTTTGGATTAATCACCAGATTAATCTATAAAGAAAAGTTGGGATTTAAAAAAATTACATGTATCAACTTTATAAAGGCAAGAGTGACCCATTTATGAATACACAACAAGTACAGAATTCATGTAAGATTTAGGAGGTTTAATTTTAAGACTAGAAAGTAGCTAGAAGGATACTATTAAAGCTTTTTTGCTTTTTGGAGGAATAAGGAATCAAAATAGTAGAGGGCTATAGGGTTTTCAACAAATCCTTCCCAATCCTCAAAAACCTGGCTTCTCTTTACCCATTTCTTACCACAGGAACAGCAGAACTTGATACTGTTCTGCCTACTTTTAGAGCTGTGAATGTATGAGCTAAGGTAAGATTCTTCAAATTTTTCGGAGTTAAAGAGCCTAGCAGCAGAAAAAAACAATGGTAGCTTGAGAACTGTGGGAAGGGTCTGTTTTGTTTTATTTCAAACATATTTGGAGGCAAAGGTGAGCCAAATGGAAATGGGAGTGGCCAAGAAGTCATGGGTATAGACTCAATTCCTGAACACACTAGGATATGAGGTCAAGGTAATGCTCTGACCTGGGAGCCACCATCAAAAGCGCTGTTTCATAAACAACTATGAACCACTCTGTGACATGTATCAACTTGTTAAAGGCAAGGGTGTCTGCAACTCTGGCAGCAAGAATCTTACCATTCCCTGGGCCCTCCACCTCTGTGTCCCCCTGTATGACTCCCTCTATGGTTGCTAGAAGAATTAGATGATTCCTGGACTTCAGTCTCCCATCTTTTCCTTAAAAGTTCCACCCCAACATGCTTAAACCTAAGTGACAAGGTCCCTAGGTGTGGCTCCTGCCATCTATTCTACTTTACTCTCTCCCTTAACTGCTTAGTTTCTCATGTACGCTTCACACAAAAATTAGATCTAAAGAAACTAATACGACCTAATGAAAGGAATTCCATTAACCCTACTACAGAGTCAAATAGCACTCCTCCCCAAAATTAGCGTAGGAAATACTAAAAAGTTCCTTCTCAAAGCATTCACACTTCATTCTGAAAAACGAGTCAATTATCACATCACTTTTCAGCAAAAGGGAAATGAAGCAAAACAGAACTACACTAAGTTATCTTAAAAATACAGACTGACAATTTGCTTTGTGAGAATAAAGTATACTCATGAATAGTACAACAATATAGTTTCCTTTTAATGTAACTGGGTTATGAAGCAGCAATTCAGTTAAGTAATTACCTTTGTTAAATAGGATTCTTGCTGTTAATACCCCACTAACCAGACCTACAAGGCAGAAGTTACCATAAAGACAACCAGTCCCTATTTAAATAGGTCATTATTTCACCCACAGAGATGATCTCGCAATAACTATGTAGTAGGAAAATACTAATACACAGAAAATGCAAGACTGTATCATTTACAAATCCTTAATTTTTAACATTATAAAATTATATTTTTTGGACTGAGATTATATGCAACTTAAAATAAACAAGGAAGAACAAATGAAAAGGAGATACTCAATTCAGTAAACTCTGAATGTTACTCTGGGGGCAAGGCACTGTGCTAAGCCCAGGAGTCCAAGGAGAGGGGCTTACGCCTTACCTCAGTGGGTTGGGGTAATATTGCGACAGTCATGGTGCTAGTATGGATGCGGCCTTGCTTTTCTGTCTTTGGCACCCTTTGTACTCTGTGCACACCTCCTTCAAATTTCATGTGCCTATAGGCTTCTGAACCCCCAATGCTGGCAGATGCATGTCTAAGGCCACCTTGAAAATAAAGGGAAATAGAATTATTTTTATTATTCCTGCCTTTTATAATTGACCATCACGTCTACTATCTTGAGGTACATTTTAGAAGTCATAAAAGGAGATAAACATGGAGACTGTAAAACATATTAAATATTCAATGTTTTAATATTTGTCTTTAATGCTTACAATTATTAAAGCATTTATGGGGCTAATCAACTGACATCAATAACACATCTAAGGCTACTTTTGAAGACTGTTAGTAATTCAATGGCTAGTATTATTGAAAGACTATCCATTACATTTTATAGGTCATTTCAAAATTACTGTATTTACATTCAAATTTATTAGGTAAATGAGGAGCTTAAAACTACATAAGCATCTTTACACATCAGTTCTAAAGCCTAGTCATGGTGTTTCCAACTCTTTTCCTCAACACTTTACCCAAAACTGAATGAATAGTTTACTGACCTATTTCACTTGGAAAATATTCCAGGGTTTCAAAATGCCATCTTTTAAATGCAGCATATCGCTGATACATATCAAACATCTCTGAAGTAAACAACATTGCCTCCTGACCTCCAACACCTGCAGTTACTTCCAGGATCAAATCATTTTCATCTGTTTCTTCTGAGGGAACCAAAAGTAAGATAATCTGTAAATAGAAAAATATCACCCTTCCTATAATTAAGATTTAAAATATACCAAAAAATAAAAAGCTAAATGATTAGATTCGGGAATTTTTAAATATTTAAGTTTCACCAAGCAAATAATATTGCTGAGTACTGTTCAAGCATCTTGCCAATTAGAACGGTATAATGTGTAACTTCCATAAATTATTAATGTTACAACTATATTATAAATGCTCTCAGGTTCAGCTAAAACTTCAGGCTTGTATTATTGTCTCTTGGAGTTCTTATATGCTTTATATCAGTTCTCTATTCAGTTAATAATGTGTGTTTTCTGTGATTAGGAAATAATACTGTTGTAGAGAGAAGATTCTAGCTCCATGCTCTTGCAATTTAACGCCTAGTATGACAGAAAAAGCACTCAAAATTACATTTGTATTATTTTAAGATTTCTTATTATGGAAGAGAAGCTTGTAATTTTGAAACTAAAAAGGCCCTTAGAGATTATCTGGTCCATTTCTTTAATTTTACATGTCAAGGAAACAGAGGTTAACAGAGATTAAATGACTTGTTTAAAGGCAAAGTGTTAGGTTATTGGCCAAGCAGATGCAAAAACACAACTCTTTGTACCTAGATCAGTCTTTCCTCCATTATAATAGTATGTTTCTAATCAAGGGGATCTAGAATAAAGACTTCTTAGATTAGGTCAACTAGTAAGAAAAGCTGCCAACATTTATTGGTTCTTTAATACATGGCAGGTAATCTAAGCACTGTACATACTTTAATTTCTAAAACAATCTTGGGTAAGTATTATTAACAGCTCAACTAACTTTAGTTGAATTATCTAGTGGCTCAACATTACACAACTCAAAAGTGGAAAAGCTAGAACTGAACCTGAATGTACCTGAGTACACTGCTATCACACTTGACATTGGTCAGAAGCTATGCTAGTACATACTTTTCCATCTCTCTAGCCTATGCCAATACAACATTATCATTCAAATTTTGAATAAATAATGGATTGTACCTCTGCATGATGATTACCAGACAATCAACAGAAATCTTTAATATACATATGCTTCTTATTCATACAAAATTTAGATAGTGGGTAAAACACGAGCTACACTACACTTTTCACCTTATAGTGGAATTCTTCCCTCTAACATAGTTTATAGGCACGTTAATTTTTAGTAATTTTCACATTTGGCTAAAGAGGAGGCAGATTCTCAAAAATAAGTACCCCCTTTCCTGGCTCCTTCCTCACGAAGGAGGAAGAATATGTTTATTCTTTCACTTATCCCCAGAGGTAACTGCTGTTAACCTTTAGTCTCTGCTTTACAAAATTAGCAGAGTGACTCAAATTTCATATAATAATTGGTCTTCATGAACTCCTATATGTCCTGCAATTCTTATTGATATATAATCAAAGCAATATAACCCAGTTCTTAAAATCATGAGAGCCTACTCTATGTCTGGCATTCAAAATAAATATTCCTGTCCCTGAGGAGCTCACAGTCGACTATCACTCCACCAGGGGACTTCAAGAAGTTGTATTTCAAAGTTATTTTGCAACAAAATAAACTCGTGTTAACTAGTTATAACAAATTACAGGCTCTAATTTGAGGCACTAAGAAGGGTATCAGTTTGCAAAGAACCCCTATAAGACTAATATAAACTCTGCTAAAATTGAAGCAAGAACAAAGAATAACTTGCTGGTGAAGCTTGCTTGGGTAGAATGGTGAAATCACTGATGCTTTATGAAGTTTATGGGGACAATGCCTTAAAGAAATCAGCAGTTTACAAACAGATAAGTCATTTTAAGAAGGGACAAGATGATGTTGGAAAAAGCCCACAGTGGCAGACCATTCACATCAATTTGTAAGGAAAAAATTTAATCTTTGTGCCCTAACTGAAGAGGACCGGTCATTAACAGCAGAAACAATAGCCAACACCACAGACATCTCAACTTGTTCAGCTTACACAATCTAACAAAAAAATTACAGGTGAGCAAGCTTTCCACTGGATGTGTGACAGAACCTTTGCATGCAGATTGCAGGCCAGAGCAGAGCTTTCAACTGAAATTTTAAACAAATTGGATTGGGATCCTGAAGTATTTCTTTGAATTGTAAGCAGAAGTGAAACATGGCTTTACCAGTATGATCCTAGAAACAAAGTATAATCAAAACGATGGGCACCAAAAGGTGGGAAGGGGTCCAGTCAAAGTGAAAGCAGACTGGCCAGCAGCAAAGGTCATGGCAATCGTGTTTTTGGGGATGCTCAAGGCATCTTGCTTGTTGACATTCTTGAGGGTTAAAGAACAATAATATCTGATTATGAGGGTTTTGAGAAAGTCAGCCAAAGTTTTAGGGGGAAAGCTTCACCAGAGTCCTCTACCATACCAGTACCCCTGCTCATTCCTCTCATCAAAGAGAGGCAATTTTGAGAGTTTAAATGGAAAATCCACAGGCATTCACATTATAGTCCTTATTGGGCTCCTTTTTTTTTTTTGTTTCCTAATCTTAAAAAATGTGTAAAGGGTACCCATTGTTCTTTAGTTAATAATATAAAAAAGACTACATTGATATGGTTAAATTCCTAGGATCCTCAGTTCTTTAGGGATGCATTAAAAGCTAGTGTATCACCTTTTTGCCTACAAGTGTCTTGAACTTGATAGTTGATGGTATTTATGTCAATAAATTAAAGTTTATATATATTTTTATCTTTTAATTCGTTTTCCACAAATTTTTGAAGTCCCTTCATGTAACCTCTTCTGCCTCGTGTCTACTTTTCAGCTTTCTTTAAAAAAAAAAAAAAAGGGAAGATATGCCAATATTTCACTGCCTTTCCAGAAAATACTATCACTGTGACATTTATCTTTCTGTGAGAGCTCTATAATACTATTAGTATGATGAAAAGAAGACCATGTGAAGTTTGTTCTTGCTTTAAAAACCAGTTTGTTGATAGTGGTAATCATTTTAAAATGTATGCATATAAAACATCACATCATATACCTTAACTATATACAATTTGGGGGGTTAATTAATACCTCAATACATCTAGAAAATGAAAAATTTTAAATTCAGTTTATTCGAAACAGTAACAAGCTAGTCACTTCTTTGTTTTTTAATAAACTTTTAATAACCTTTAGTGCCTAAGAATAGCACAAATGCTTTACTCTTTGCAGAAATACCATACCTGATGTTTCAACTGAGTTATTTCTTTTTGACACAAGGTTATTTCATTCTCTGCCAGTTTCCTTAAATCTTCATTTTCATCTGGGAACAAAAGGGCAGAAATTAAGTTTTTCTTAATTCATGTTAAATTGCCAACAGACTTCCAGCTAATAGTTTTATGGTTATCATACCTGAAGGGAAAAATAAAATATCTATCTTGTCCTTTCAATAAATGCCATTAATTAAAAGTGGGATTTTATACATTAGTTTTCATAAGCATTTAAGTATAAATTCTTTTTCTGATAAAATAAAGTACAAGTAAAAATGCCTATAAAAATATAAAGAAGCTAAACTCTTCCATAATTTCATCTCCACAAAATAGTCACCTTAATAAATATGCTTTTAGACTTCGAACTTAGACTGAACAATAACAAATGAATGCATTTAGCTAATAAGACAGACAGAAGGGAAACAGGTTACACCAGTAAAACTAAAATTGAATTAAAAAGTAGAAAGTTATTTATTCTCTTACAAGCAAATGTTTCATTAGTATTTTAGTATGTACCCAAAAACATTTATTAGACTCGCTAATGTATACAGAATGTTTATGTGAAATACTCCTTTCTCTGGCTTTACCTTATTGTTGTTTCATCTTTCAATTTTCGTTTCTACCTTATAAAAGATACTTTCTCATTCCTCTACTGCATAGATGATATATGCAGCCTATATAAAGGAGGAGGAGAGGGAAAATTTCTGGCTATTAACAAACTGTTCTCTCTACTGAAAGTTCAAATCCTTACAAAATATCAGTTTGTATGCTTATCTATTAGGAACCAACCATGCTGGGAACTGGGATAATAGATATATAAAACCTGCACTCAAGAGAGCATTATGGATAATTTTAGTTTCCTTATATTTTTTCTAGAGGAGAAAAACAAAAAATAACCTAAACCACTATTAAATCTTATTTTGATGTATAGCTCCCACAATTCCAACCTGTCATGGGAGGGAACCAGTGGGAAGTAACTGAATCATGGGGGCAAGGTCTTTCCTGTGCTGTTCTCTTGATAATGAGTAAGTCTTACAAGATCTGATGGTTTTATAAAAAAAGAGTTCTCCTGCACAAGTTCTCTCTCTTGTCTGCTGCCATGTAAGACGTGCCTTTGCCTTCCACTATGATTGTGATGCCTCCTCAGCCACATGGAGCTGTGAGTCCATTAAACCTCTTTTTCTTAAAAATTACCTGGTCTTGGGTATGTCTTTATCAGCAGTGTGAGAACAGACTAATACATTATGTGACTAAATACTAAAACAATAGCACCCTAAAGGAATCTGTTGGTTTTGAGATGGGCAGAAAAAGTAAAGAAAGATTAACTCAAGGAGAGAGAATAACAAAAGCAAAACTGAGACAAGCAAGTACAGGAAGGACAGCTGGAAATTATTTTGCCAAGCATATAGTATGGAAGAAATTTGATAGAATGGAAAATATGTTGAGTTAGGAAAAGCAAAAATGAATTCTAGCCCTAGCTTAACGCTAAGGTACTGTTAGGCCAATAGGCTCAACTTCTCTCAGTTATGGCAAGAGTGAAATCAAAGTTGTGAGCTGGATGATCTCTAAGGTGCCTTTCAGTTCTACAAAGCTAAGGAGACTGGAACTAGAGTCTAGAAGTAATTTTAATACTATATTTTATTTAACCCAATATGCTCCAAATATTATTTCAACATGTAATTAACATAAAAATATTTTTATATCAAGTCTTTGAAATCTATATGTATTTTACACTTACACATCTCAATTCAGACTAGCCACATATAGATGGTCAATAGCTGTGTGGCTACTGGCTACCATACTGGACAGCGCACCTCTAAAGGGTTTAGACAGAGGAGTTATTCATAGGCAATGGTAATATTCTACTTCTTTAATTTCTTTTGAATATTATAAATCAACATACGTTTACGGAGCATCTATCATATGCCTGCCTTCCCCTTTGCCTACAAAGATGTTTATGGTTTCCCATTCTAAATGGGTCCTTTTCTTTTCAACCCTTGAAGTGGCTGCCTATTGTCACCCCTCTCTTCCCACCCAGATTTCTGGAGATAAATGCCATTTTTATTACTTTTCTCCTGTTAACTTTTATCTACCTAACTCTAACTTACTTCTCAAGCTGTTACACTGGATTCTATCATCATATTAAGACTTTTTGTTCAGATTACCAATGACAAAATTGCCAAATCTAAAGACTTATTTCAGTGTGAGCTAAAAAGCTGTGTTTTACCTTTCTATATCAAGTACTGAGGATCTCTTTTTTTTTTTTTTTTTTTTAGGCAGGGTCTTGCACTGTCACCCAGGCTGGAGTGCAGTGGCACCATCTCGGCTCACTACGACCTCCACCTCCTGAGTTCAAGCAATTCTCCCACCTCAGCTTCCCAAGTAGCTGAGACCACGGGTGTGCACCACCATGCCCAGCTACTTTTTCATTTTTTATAGAGACAGGGTTTTGTCATGTTGCCCAGGCTGGTCTCGAACTCCTGGGTTCAAGTGATCCACCCACCTCTCAAAGTGCTGGGATTACAGGCGTGAGCCACTGTGCCTGGTGGCAGATCTCTTTGAAATTTCCTTCAATTGGCTTCTACAACTTCATTTATCGACTTCGAGGTCACAAAGCTCTGCCTGTTTTTTCTTGACCTTTCATAGCTTTCTTCTCTGCCTGCTCCTCAAATACTAGGAATTTCTGGCATTGTTAGACTTGTCTCTGTCTTAACAAATTTTCCCTGAGTGTTCTCATCTGTATCTAAGGTTTAATTTACCATGTACTGTGTATCTCGAGAGCGCTCATATGATTATTTGGGCTCAATTTTTTCTCCTAGACTAGTATAGATACCTTTATTGGACTGTCCTTTTCACAGGTATTTTTAACTTAATATAGCATTCAACAAAAAACTCCTTTTCCTTAAAAATTCGGTCCAACTTTTATATTTTAATCTTAATTAACAGTATCACTCATGTTTCGAAGCCAGAAACCTAAGACTTATCTTAGAATTCTCTTTCTCCTTCACCCTTCTCAGGACATAAGTCACTAAATCCTAACTTGTTCCTCAGAATGTCTTGGAGTCAGACCTATGCCGATCACCATCTCTTCCTTGGATTGTTTCAACTGCCTCCTCCCTGGCCTGTCAGTCACCAGGGTTTCTGGAGAATAGCCAATTTATCCTCAGTGCATGCCACCACTAACTTTTCTTTACAAAGATATGTCTTCTCTGCTTAAAAACACATGCTAACTTTTCATGGGCTATAAAAAATAAATCCAAATTGTCTTGAAAGGTTCTTAACTATCTTTCTGGCTTTATGTTTCAATGACATTATCATCTCCCACCTATTCTATACTTAGGCCATGCTGAATTTCCCAATTTAGTACCTTTACCCAGGCTGGTCACCTCTCTGCCTTCAAACTCGTGTACCATCTGACAGACAACCTCCGGCTTACCCTTCAAGATACACCTAAATGTCGGCCTTTGTTTTTATAACATTCTGGGCTTTATTGCAGACATTAAACATTCTTTGTAAATATAAAAGTCACTTCTTATTTTACTTCTTACACATCTCCCTTACTAGACTGTAAGCTCCTAAATGCTATTTCTGTTTTTTTTTTTTAGTAATTAGTGGTGTCTAAGCAAAGCCTGGAGCATAGCAAGGAATTAATAGAAGTTAAACTACTATTATATTATATATGGGTGGGCCTTTATACCTCTCCAGTGTCTAACAAGTGCTTGCTCTCCTAGGTCTTTATTCATAATTCATAAATGTTCTTATCAACTATATTATAGGTAATTAATTATATCCCTCACTAGACTGCGAATCTCTCTGGAAGCTTGCTACCCAAAGGGGTGCCTGAACCAGCAGCAGCTTGGCAGGCGTGGGACTTTATAGTAATACAGGCACTTAAGCCCCATTCCAGATTCACCTGGGAAACTTGTTAAAAATGCACATGTCTAGGTCTGAGATTCTGAGTCCTGAGTCGGCTATTAACAAGCACTGCCCCTGATACTACTGCAGACAGGTCTCCACACCACGCTTTGAGAAACACCGCTGTGGAGTCCATCACAGGGACAGTACCTTGTTTATCCTTCGTGAGCTAATGAGCTCTTGCCCGAGAAAACAATAAGCATGTAAAAGGGGGCAGGGCACCGTGGCAAGGGAGCACAAGAGAGCCCACAGGAGAGGATGGGATCAGAGCGCACATCACGATGTCTTGACTTCTGATCCAAACAAAAAACAGCTACAAGCGAGTAAAGAATTTCAAACTCGGGTAGCGTGGGCAGTGGCTTAGTGGAAAAGGCCAAGGAAGAGTCAAGAGTGTGCTCTGATGCCGCATCCCGGGCCCGGCCCTTACCGTGCAGCAAGTGCTCGGTCTCCCGCAGCTCCTGCTCCTTTTCATTCAGTAGTTTGACTACCGCCACCAACTCGGGCCTCCTGACCTTCAAATGAGCTTCAGATCCCGCCTGGCGCTCGAGGAAGGTCCGCAAGGGCCCGCCCTGGGAGAACAGCTCCTCCAGCGGCCGGCTACCGCCGCTCAGGGGCCGGCGGGCTGCGGCAACGGCCCCGCGGGGCCACAGCAACCGGGCAGCACACCACAGAAGACTGGACTGCATCGGTAAAACAAGACGACAGCTGCTACCGAAACCGGAAGTTCCGGACAAAGCAAGTCTCGCGACAGCACCCGGAACTCGGAGATAGGGGCGAGAGCTCATCAAGCCCCGCCTAGCGCACGCGCTGTTTTTTTTTTTAAAGGATTTTCCGGAAGCCTTTGCGGGAACTTCCGGCCAAGCGTGGGAACGCTGCGAGCTTCCTAGAGGCAAAATTTGAGGGGGCTGAGCGGAGAGTGATTAGGGCGGAGCGGGCCTGGGAGACTTTGGGCATCTCCTCTGAAAGCCGCTTCGCACGTGCCCGGGTGACGGGTGATGCGTTGGGCAGGAAGGTGAGAGCAGCAAATCGCCCCTCTGTGTTCTGATAGCGAGAATTTCTTTCCCACGCACTGAGTCGGGTTTCCAGAGCCGCAGGGGAGGGCAGTCGAGGGTCCCCTGCAGGGCGGAGGTCATACCCACTCAAGTCGTCAGACTCCAGTGCACGCCTGGCCCTGAGTCTCCAAGAGCGAGTTTTAGTATGGATATGCGTATGTCTATTCCTCCTCCTTTTTTCCTGCTTAGGTTTCTCTTGTCCACGGTGGGTCAGGTTCGTGTTAATGAGGACGCGACAAGTGTATTATGAGATAACGACTGAATGAATTTGCACAATGTCTTCCCCGTCATTTACTTGCTTTCAGAGCACTTTGTTATTCGCCTGCTCATGCATTTTCACTTATTCCCAGTTATCTTCAGCTACTTTTTAAAGAAGTTGAGTGATTCCGTGTTACAACCACCTACAGCCCAACAAAGCCTTCAGATATCTGCCTCCAGCAGTCCAACCCTTATCCTTTTCCAAAAAAACTGCTGATAGCAGATAGGTGCCAGCAATACAGACATTTATTGGCACAGTGCTTTGCAGTTTTCAAAATACCTGTTCACAGCTCAACAGAGAAATAGATATAAGGGAATAAACACAACCAGGACAGTCCCGGGAATGCAAGGGCTAAACGCTGAATCTGGGAACTGCCACTACCTGATTTGGGCAGCGTCTACTAAGTGACATTTCACTGTTGAGAGAGATAATATAGTGGAAGAACTTAAATTCTAATTTATTCATAAAAAATAAAATGGTAGAAAATGGGAACTCTTATCAAGGTTAAAATATCCCTAGGTCATCTAATCGAGGTTAAGGACAAAATTCTTACAAAATACGTTTACCTTGTCTCTTTTCATCTCTCAGCACGACATACAAATGCAGAGTGAGTGGAAGAATGAAATACTCTTCAAACAACAGGAAGCAAAAATAGTTTTTTGCTACTTAAAAGCTCCAACTAATTACCTGAATTCATTTTGCTTTGTGTATTCAAGCTACGCAACTTTATAAAATTGTTCTGCTGCTGAAACCAATTTTATTTTAATTCTGATCTGAGGATAGTACAGGGCTGATGAGGATGTTTTTATCTCTATTAGAACAGTTGTTTCCTGAGGCTGAACTCAACTTTGAATTTATTTAATCACTTGAACTCAACATGATAAATCTCTCAGTTGAATTCTCAGAACATAGTGATTTCAAGATATATTTTATTCATGAAAATTGCAAAATTTTAATAATTAAAACCTTATAGAACAATGTAAAGAATATAGCCAGAATTTATCTTCCCCCAAGTGCATAAGCAATTTAAGTAACACACAGAAGTGTACCTTGTATTCATATAGTGTTATACCAATGAGGAAACAGTAACTTTCTAAGGATACATTGTTGACTTTATTAATTCAAAACATTTTAAGGAAATCAGTATAATGCATGTGCCTTTTACAATAACATCCATAGGTTTCCACAATATAGTAAAATGAAAACAGCTGTATTTTGGTTTACTTTGAAAACTCAAAGTAAGATACCTAGTTTGAGACTTCTGAATTTTTTTACATTATTGTCATGCTCAAATTCTATTACATGGTGAAAATTCTAGCATTTTCCAGAAGTATATTATTGTACATAGATAAAAAGATAAAATTGATTCTAGGAAGGGAGAATAAAAAAACCAGAAAAACTCAAACTGGAGGAACCATAATCTGGATTATCTATTCAGTTTATGAGTACCCACTGTTATTCTGGCATTGCAAAATACACCAGTGTGGTGCCTCTTAGGTTGTATTCATGCATTCAAAAATTCTTTATTGTCCACTAATAAATATTGGTGGAGTACAATATGTGGATATAGATTATTAAGTATAATGAACATGGTAGTAAAAAAATGATACACATTCGATATGTAATTTTACAAAACCAAACACATTGAAATTCTTTTTAATATTTAACAAACATTTAAAAATCATATACAAGAAACATATTTATGACAAATCAGTTAAAGCCGGCCAGAAATATATCAGATCTTTTATATTATTTCAATATTCAGTGTTCATTGATTAGTAGAGGGTAATATAGAAATGCACTAAGCAAAATGGTTAAATTTAAATTACCTCTTATCACAATTAGTAAGACTAACATCTTTAATATCCAAAGTATATAGAGGATTATTATAATTAATTATGCAGCTAGTTCAAGGGAAAAATTCACTTTCACCTCTTTAGGTGAATATTCAGGCTAAGACTTTTGGTCTTTTATTTTTCCACTTCACTGTATTTTCTTTATAGCATTTATTAGTAGTCACCTAGTGGAACCTAGTATTAGTGTTGAGGAATCTTCTTAGAATTTGTTTAGCTCAGTGTACATGTCCAGAAAATTTACCTTCAACGTAATCTCTTTAAAAATGTATTACTTTACAGTGGAGAAACAGAATGGATCCTATCTCAGCTAAGTGATCAAGGTTAACATCAATAGCTAAGAGTAATCTGAAGTTTGAGAAACTGTCACAGCTAAGAGAAGTTCTCATGATGCGGCATGTACTTTTTGATATCATATGATAAGCACAGCACTTTACCTTTGTATTCTTCCAAAAAACCAAAAACATGTGTCTGCTCACGAGAAAAACATCAGACAAATCCCCACAGAGGAACATTCTACAAATACCAATTTATTTCTCAAAACTGTCATCAAAAACAAGGAAAATTTCAGAAACTGTCACAGCCAAGAAAAGCCTAAGGAAACATGACAACTAAATGTAATGTGGTATCATGAATAGGATCCTGGGATAGAAAATGGACATTAGGTTAAAAACTAAAGAAATCTGAATAAAGTATAAACTTAATGATCAATATTGGTTCATTAATTTTGACAGATGTCCCATAGGTATATATGGGACCTCTCTATTTGCAGTTTTTCTGTAAATCTAAAACTCTAAAATACAAGGTTTGATGGACACATTACTATTTTAAATTTTGTTTTTATTTTAAACATTTTATTTTTTCTTAGAGTCAGGGTCTCATTTTGTTGCATAGACAGGTCTGAACTCCTGAGCTCAAGTGATCCTCCTGCCCTAGCCTCCCGAAGTGCTAGGATTTTAGGAATGAGCTACAGTGCCCAGCTCATTACCAGCTTTTATTAATTTTTATTTTCATTGTAAAACTGTTAAAGAAAATCATACTGCCTTAATAGTAAAAAGAGTGTTTTCTAATTGTCAGTCTTTTATAAATTAGTCTTAGCCCTATATATCATTTATATATTTAGCAAAAACTTGGTATTATTTGTGTCCTTGGGAATGCTGTTTTATTTCCATTGGAAACAAAATTTTCAAATTATTTATTTAAACTTTAACCTACTATCTATCTATCTATCATCTATCTATCTATCTCTATCAATGTCATTGAAAGAAACATTTCAGTAGATTTGAGGTGATGGTGAATTGAAAGTAGTGATTTGGGATCACATTACTGAGCAAAGCAATGACATTGCTGTAGCGTTCCAGCTTAAAATATGATTGCTTTGATGAGCAGCTAAAGCAGATGTTTAAGGTATGTTTTGGGAAAAAATAGGGGAAAGCGCATTTAATAATGGCTTTTTTTTTTTTTTTTTGAGATGGAGTCTTGCTCTTGTCGCCCAGACTGGAGTGCAATGGTGCGATCTCACTGCAACCTCTGCCTCCCGGCTTCAAGTGATTCTCCTGCTTCAGCCTCCTGAGTAGCCAGGATTACAGACACAAAGCCCAGCTAATGTTTTTTTTTTTTTGTTTTGTTTTTTTTTTTTAGTAAAGACAGAGTTTCAGAGGTCTCAAACTCCTGACCTCAGGTGATCTGCCTGCCTCTGCCTCCGAAAGTGCTGGGATTACAGGCATGAGCCACTGTGCCCGGCCTAAAATGATATTTAATACAAGCATAAAATAACGATTATTGAGTGGAAGAACTTTGATAAAATAATCATGTATGTCACACTTTATTCTTTTTATGTTTGTTTTATTTAATGCTCATAGCCATCCTGAGAATTGTTTTGTCATTTGCAGATAAGGAAATGAACTCAGAGAAGATAAATGATTTGCCAAAAGTCACTTGAGACAGAAATGTAACTTGAAATAGAATTTGCAATTTTCAGTTCCTGATGTTTTTACATTATGCTCCCAAAGTGAATCTGTGGACATACATTTCCACTAGTAAGTATTGTATGTGGCATTCCTTTAATACAGCAATAAGAGCTAGATCTTTAGAAAGGAAATGCATCCAAGCTTAGGACAGAAATACAATCTGTTTATTATTCTAAAATCTTTATTTCTAACTGTTTAAAAGCTGTAAGGTAGTAATAGCAGTTAGGTATAAGTCAGCAGTTTTGAAATTCTGAAATGAGATTTAATATGAGAAATAATGAGGTAAGAATGAATTTCACATTGCACATATGACATATTTTAAAATATTATATTTGGTTATTGTCATCAATGTTTGATAGTGTTTTTTTTCCCTAGTCATCTTAGAACTTTGTCATAGGAATAAAATCAGTTCCCAAACTGGGGCCTTCTATCAGTTAGGGCAGCATTTTGCCTTCTGTAGTGTTTTTACTAGAGTCAATGTCTTGAACATCCCCTTGAATTCATCTGAAAAGATGTCACTTGGGGCTGAAGAGGACTATACCTCTAAGAGTAATAATTTTAAAAATACGTAGAAAGAAATCAAATCCAGGTATTTAGAACTAATACTTGTCATTGTGCGCTGATTTGTGTTACAAGGATATTTTAAGCATTGCAGAGAAAATCTGAAGCAAGTTTTGGGTTATCAGTTTTATTGATAAATATTTGCAGCCGTAGCAAGTGAAGAATTACTAAAACTTTTGCAGATTGGATATTGTTTTCACAGAGAGCAAACCATTTTATATTAGAAATTTGAAGATGGAAAACACAAAAATACATGCTTGAAAAATATACTTAGAAAATTATGGTCATAAACCGTCAATGTAAATAGGCAAAAATATTTTTTGGAAATATCTTTACCATCTTTCAAAATAATTTTTTAATGTATCAAGCCCAAAGTACTCAAATTACATGTTTGATAGACTTCTATATATAGGCATTTCCTGTCTCTTTAAGACTTAAAAAATTATTATTATTATTATTATTTTTGAGATGGAGTCTCGTTCTGTTGCCAAGGCTGGGGTGCAGTGGCATGATCTCATCTCACTGCAACCTCTGCCTCCTGGGTTCAAGCAATTCTCCTGCCTTAGCTGTGATTATAGGCATCCACCACCACACCCGGCTAATTTTTGTATTTTTAGTAGAGTTGGGGTTTCACCATGTTGGCCAGGTTGGTCTTAAACTCCTGAGCTCAAGTGATCCACCCTCTTCAGCCTCCCAAAGTGCTGGGATTATAGGCTTGAGTCACTGTGCCTGGCCAGGAAATATAGGTGGTTTTCAAATACGTTTTATTTTTTGACTTTTTGATTATATTTTGAATTTTTTCTCTTTACATTTGACAACAAAGCATCCAATAATTGGTAGTTTTTGGAAGAATATTTTGTCACAATTACAATATGGTTTTTAAAAGTATAAGTTAAAAGCATAGAAAAATGTATAATCTCAAAAGTAACAATCAGGCATTATTTTAAATCAGCTTAATGGGATGAAGGTGTATTTTTCCTCCTAATAAACATTTTTTACTTATCCATATAGTCCTTTGGCAAAACTGAACTATCAGGTAAATAAACCATACATATTTCATCTGTAAGTCAGAACCTAGGCAGCATTAAAGGATACTAATACACACCCCATGCACTATGACCACTTATCAGAGCTGGTCATTCTATGTACATATTTTAAAATTTCAAAAAAAAAAGAGATCACATTATGGTCTTGACTTTTGCATTTCATCACTTCATTATCAAAGTTGTGTTTCATTCTTGTTGTTCATGTGTACACTCTAACACTGTCAGAGCATCTATACTACCTTTGGATAACATAACAGCCTGAGGAAAGACGTGCCATCCATCCATTACTGGTGTGATTTATGTATAAGCTCAATCTCTGAAGAAATCTGGATCTCCAATTTATTTATGTATACATAATCTATATCCTCTACTTTCTTTCTTTTATACATCTAAAGTTAGGCACTGTAGAAAGCGCATTAATCTCTTTCTGTGTGCATCAGCAAATTCTAACAGTATACAAAGACACCGTGGCAATCAAACACACAAAGTGTCCCTTTTAAAGTGCTGATTTTCCCCAGGGAGGAATTTACTCACTAGGAAAACTCAAATTCTAATAAAACAAATATTGTGCTCTTGGAATGGTAGCATAGACACCAGTTGAAGGCTTTTTTGTTTATTTATAATAGCTCTGTAACTTAAACAGAAGAAATTATATCATACTTAGAAAATTAGTAGAGTTGCAAATACACAGACGTACTCTGAAATGAGAAACCCTCCCTTCACCCAAAAATATGAGTTTAGCACAGAAATGCTCACATAGCATGGTTATCAACATCTGATGTGTAAATTGGGTTTAGAATCTTTCTGAACACAACTTCCGACTCAGGTTTCAAAAGGATATACCAACTTTAAAATCTGTGTTCTACAAATGCCCAGGTTAGAGATGAGGACTCTTTATAAGGGCCCTTATCTTTTACATTTGGTAAAATATTAAAGGTATTGTCAAACAGACAATTCATCTAATAGTCCAAAGTATCTTATAAAGATAACTTAACGACTAGCAGGTCACCATCATATATAGTAACAACAAGAATATAAAGTCTACATTTAAAAAGATTGATGCATGCACTGTGTCACAGTATATTACATATTTTCTAGTCATGTGCACCAATTTATTGTGCCTCAAACACAGAAACAAACATGATACTACACCATACATGTGTATATATCATAGTAGCATAATAAACTCAATTCTAAGCAAGAAAAAATTAAATAATTTAGGAACAATAGAACTTCACAATAGAAGTGATGATTATTTTAGGTTTTTCTGTACTCTTTAGGAAAAAATATGACTTTTGTAAACATCTTCATAGCTATCTTTTTTCAACATATTACTGAAAACTATTATTCAAATAGTATTTAAATGACATGAATAAAATATGTCTTAACACACTAACACTTTCAGAAAACACAAGCATTTGTTAAAAGAAATGATTATTATAAATATTGTCTATCTTGCATTTTTAACTACATTTTCATAAATAATGTATTTAAAAGTGCTGAATATGGTAGGATAGTCAGCAACGCCAGTGTAAACAGAATATTTTGTTTTCTACTCTGCAATTTTTTAAAAATCCCATTTTGTCAAACACTGCAACAGTTAAAATATTTGCATAGGGAATAGATAATAGCCCTTTTATTCATGTCTCCTGAATTCTATATAAATTAGAAAATCATACTTGCTTAGAAAAACAATTTTTGAAATGTTTTAAGTTTATGGAAAAAGAAACTTACAATGCCAACCTTTCAAGTAAAACAAATTTTAAAAGAAACCCCCAAACTTGTTTTTTAAAAAATGTTTAATAAATTAAAAAATGAGAGGTAGTTAAAAAAATGACAAAGAAAACCTGTAACTGTAATATCATCCTTAATATAAGGCCAGTGTTCTCAGTGGATATAAATCTTTTTAAAACTTTCATTTTAGGTTACTCAGTATTATATTCATTCAGTTTAATATTAAAAAAATAGTCTTCAGGGGATATTAATATTCAAATGTAACACTTTGATATAAATATGACACTGATTATTTTAATTATCACTTTTGTGCATGACAGAATATTGTTTCCTTTAAGGTCAGAAGTACATGACAATGTCAGGCAGGTGTTTTGTCTTAAAGATTTAGTGTACTTATAAAAAATAATATGGCAGCTGGAAAATCTGAGCACTGTACTGCCTTTTAATGATGGATGAAAATTAATAGTTTGGTCTAAACATCTTTAAAATGTCATCCTTAAGATATTATGTGAAAACAGTTAAGGTCTGAAGTAGAGAATCTTCTTCTTAACCCTTATAAAACTTTTTCTGGTAAAAAACTTAGCTTCATTGGATTTCACGTTCAAGGAAAATATGCCACAGGACAGATGGTATTCATCAAAATGTTTTACAGTGCTACATGTAGGCATTCCTTTATTAAATCCTTTCCTTTATATTCCAAAACTAAGTTATCAAGCTTATTATTTTTTTCTTGCTGAAGTACATAACTTTACACGACCATTTTAAAACTGGAGAGCCAGTCTTTAATAAATTAATTACAGTATTGGACATCTGATATATACATAAATTCATTTTCTTCTGTTACAATTAAAAGCAATATCACTCTGATTTGTCATTGAGATAGGATATCTTCAAATTGTTTTGTGCTTTTTTTCTTTTCTTCTTCCTTTTTTTTTTTTTGTTTTTGTTTTTAGCATAGCAAACTCTCCTGTAATGAAAATGCCACAGTTTTGGCAGTGAACAACCAGAGAAATCCCTATTAGGATTTTCCAACAAACAGAGATAAATAGCTCTTTTTCATGTACAGAAATATTGGCTTCAAAATTAGCATACTAAACACAGTATATAGAATGTTGAATACCATTGTTACATCGTAAAAATTGCTTTTTTTTGTCTTAGATTATGTTAAAAAATGCAAACCATGGCCGATTTTTTGGCAATTATTTCTTAAGATCATATTGCACAAAAGTCCTTAAATACAGATATAAGTTATGCTATTGGATTAAATATTACAACAACTACGTGGCAAATGAAGCAGTTTTACTTTGCACATGCAGTCTCTGGAGATACACTAGGAGACTGTTTGTAGGACTACAAATACACTTGCTTGCAAGTAGAATGAGTGTTGAATAAAACAAACAATTTGGCAATTCATTGTTTGGTGTGATATTTTCTCCAAACTTAGCCATGGATAACCTTGATAAAAATGGAGACAAAGACCATAATGGTTGTGTTTTCACAGTAGCCTGAGGAATGCTAAACTGTAGTTCTCCAGGAACTCAGTGTCTGATGTTATTTAACTACTTTTATTTCCCATCTCAGCCCTCCAAAATGATTGTTTTAAAAGGAAAATTAAGATTCAGAAGAAGAGCCAGCAGTACTTTCAACAAATGACTTATAAATTTGAGAGTTCAAAAACCTTGGAAAAGAATCTCTGTGCATTAAAGTATATATCTGAAGTTGGGCATCTTCATACATGTGAGGATTAGGATCCAACAGATTTCTATTGATCACCTCTCTAACTCGAGAATCAAGACTGACCTAAAAAGAAACAAGAGCAAATACATTAAATAATATTTTTATCCAAAGACCTCTATTAAGTAACTGTAGGTTTGTGACATTTTACAGAAACTTTAAAGAGTAAATCCAACTACCAAAAGTCTTGAGTTCATCTTTTCAGACTACACAACCTTATGTACTTTTCTCCATCAAAATTTGCATTAAACAAACAACAAAAAATACAATTCATTCTTTTAAACCAGAAATTTAGCTTACTTGGATTTATGGTTATATGCATTCATTCAGGAGTTTTTAACAATTTCTAATCATGGCTGAAGTACTAAAATTTCCTAGCCAAAATATGAATTCACCTTCTCCTGTTCTGTGGTTGGCAGAGATTGGCAATATTGATAAAAGGATAAAAATCTACTGGCAGAAAAGAGTTCCATGGCAAAAATTGACATGCATATAAAATGCCAATTCCCAATACTTTCATATCCCAACAAGTCCTACTGTGTCAAAAGTGGGAAACAAGAGTGTGGCAGGGCATGCAGTGAGCAGGTATGCTTCATGTCTTACTTCTACCTGGCAGGGACTAGCTAACATCCTTATACATCCAAACACCTCTACTAATGATGAAACAGATCAATTGCTTGGAGTGAAATCTTTGAGAGGAGAAATAGAAATAGGAATGCAGAATAACCATTAAAATCAATACAGTGTTATTTGAAAAGTGTACAGAAATTAAGTTCTGCAGCAATTTAGGATGTTTCCCTTTCCTCACTAAATGCAAATCCTCTTGGAACTGGTAAAACATGTTGGAAAGGGAAATGGGGAAAAATACTGGCAGTAAAGGGCATGGTTGTAGGAACAGAACTAAAGCCCTGCCCTGAAATACCATATTAGAACAAACCCCAAAGTGGCAAACAACCACTCTTGAGTCCAGCTTGTTTTCTTCAATCCTCACTATTCAGCAAGGAATAGGTCCTGTGATCCATAGTGTTATTTCATGATATATTCAGATACAAACCTTTCATATTTATACTTAAACATGTTGTCATAAGCATTCTGCAAATGCCTTTTAGTTCTGGCTTCTTTTCCCATCACTGTTTGAACTAAGTCTGGGAACTAATACAATCTCTTATTGAAGCTCCTCATACTCCATCCAGTGTCCCCAAATTCCTGAGCTCTAGACCACGTGGAATTGGGTTGATTGCTACACCCAGTGATGGCTACTAGATTTGTTAGATGGTAATCCAGACTACATTTCTGTGGCTTAGCCAGACCAACTGATACAGGGACACCTCATTTTACTGCACTTCCCTTTATTGTTTTTCACAGATACTGCGTTTGTTACAAATTGAAGGCTTATGACGATCCTATGTCAAGCAAGTTGACTGGTACCATTTTTCCAATAGCATGTGCTTACTTTGTGTCTTTGTGTCACATTTAGTATTCTCACAATATTTCAAAATTTTCATCATTATTATATATTTAAAGGTGATCTGTGATCAGTGATCTTTGATGTTACTCTTGTAATTGTTTTAGGAGGCCATGAACCATGCCTGTTTAAGACTTAATCAATTCTTAATGATGACTATGGCGTGTATACTGACTGTTCCACTGACCTGCCATCCCCACATCTTTCTCCCTCTCCTCAGACCTCCCTATTTCCCAAGAGACAACAGTATTGAAATTAGCTCAATTAATAACCTGCCAGTGGCCTCTAAGTGTTTAAGTGAAAGGAAGATTCACACATCTCTCACATTAAATAAAAAGCCAGAAATGGTTAGTTAAACTTAGTGAGGAAGGCATGTCAAAAGCTGAGACTGGCAAAAACTAGGCCTCTTTTGAAAGTTAGCCAAGTTGTGAATGCAAATGAAATGTTCTCAAAATTAAAAGTGCTACTCCAATGAACACATGAATAAGAAAACATAACAGCCTGTTGCGGATGTAAAAAGTAAAATGTAAAAAGTCTGAGTGGTCTGGACAGAAGATCAAACAAGTCCCAACATTCACTTAAACCAAAGCCTAATCCAGAGCAAAGTCCTAACTCTCTTCAATTCTGTGAAGACTGAGAGGTAAGGAAGCTGTGTAAGAAAAGTTTGAAGCTCGCAGAGGTTGGTTCATGAGGTTTAGGGAAAGAAGTCATCTCCATAACACAAAAGCTCAAGGTGAAGCAGCAAATGGCTGATGTGAAGCTGAAGTAACTTATTCAGAAGATCTAGCTAAGATAATTGATGGAGGTGGCTACACTAAACAACAGGTTTTCAATATAGACAGACAGCCTTATATTGGAAGAAGATGCTATCTAGGACTTTGAAAGCTAGAGAGAGGTCAATGCCTGATTTCAAAGATTCAAGGACAGGCTCACTCTGTTGTGAAGGACTAATATAGCTGGTAACTTTAAATGGAAATGAATGCTTATTTACCATTCTGAAAATCCTGGAGCCCTTAAGAATTATGCTAAATCTACTCTGCCTGGGAACTATAAATGGAACTGAGGAAGGAGACCCAGGCATCTGGGATCAACTTCCCTTTTGACTGCCACACTGCATTTCAATAGAAGAAAAGGCTGACTGACTGGCGCCTCCTGTTTCACCTTCCTGTAGATGGCAGGCTGGGTCTTGGGGAAACTCCGGAAGACATTGTTTCTACTTAAAACAAGATCAAACCCGAAACCTTTTCACATGTGAGCCCTAAAACTATAAACCACCCTTTCATATGTGATTCCTGCAGCTGTAAACTGAAACCCTTTCTTTTCTTTCTTTCTTTTTTTTTTTTTTTTTTTTTGAGACAGAGTTTTGCTCTTGTTACCCAGGCTGGAGTGCAATGGCGTGATCTCGGCTCACCGCAACCTCCGCCTCCTGGGTTCAGACAATTCTTCTGCCTCAGCCTCCTGAGTAGCTGGGATTACAGGCACGCGCCACCATGCCCAGCTAATTTTTTTTTTTTTTTTTGTATTTTTTAGTAGAGACGGGGTTTCACCATGTTGACCAGGATGGTCTCGATCTCTTGACCTCGTGATCCACCTGCCTCGGCCTCCCAAAGTGCTGGGATTACAGGCTTGAGCCACCGCGCCCGGCCTGAAACCTTTTCATACATGATTCCCGAGCTGTAAACTGAAACCCTTTTCAGATGTGATTCCTGAAGCTGTAAACCGAATCCCTTTTCATATGTGTTTTCTAAGGCTGTAAACCTAAGATTCTTCCATGTGTAATATCTAAAGTATAAGCCTATATAAAGGCAGAACCTTCCTTTGTTAGACGAGCTGAATTTGGACAAATTCCTCAGCTCCTGGCTGTAATAAAGACCTCTTCCTTCTCCATTGGGTGTTCCGTAGCTGTGTTTCTCGTGGCCGCTCCTGCTACAGAACAACAAAGCCTAGATGACAGCACACCTGTTTAAAGCATGGCTTACTGGATATTTTAAGACCACTGTCGAGCCCTACTGCTCAAAGAAAAAAGATTCCTTTTCAAGTTTTACTGCTCATTGACAATGCTCCTGGTCATCCAAGAGCTTTGATGAAGAGGTACAAGGAAATTAGTATTGTTTTCATGCCTGCTAACACAACATCCATTTTGCAGCCCATGGATCAAGAAGTAATTTCAACTTACAATATTATTTAAGAAATACATTTCCTAAGACTATTGCTGCCATGGATAGTGATTCCTCTGATGGATCCAGGCAAAGCAAATGAAAAACCTTCTGGAAATAATTCACCATTGTTTTCATTAAGTACACTTGTGATTCATCGAAGGAGGTCAAAATATCAACATTAATAGGAACTTAGAAAAAGTTGATTCCACTCTCCTGGATGATTTTGAGGAGTTCAAGACTTCACTGGAGGAACTAACTGCAGATGTGGCGGAAATAGTAATAAAACTAGAATTAGAAGTGGAGCCTGAGGACTTCTTTAAAGAATCGGGGCTTGCTTCCTATGGATGAGCAAAGAAGATGATTTCTTGAGATGAAATCTATTCCTGGTGAAGATGCTGCAAACATTGTTGAAATGACAACAAAGGATTTAGATTACATAAACTTAGTTGATAAAGCAGCAGCAGGGTTTGAGAGGATTGACTCCTATTTTGAAAGAAGTTCTATTTTGGGTAAAATGCTACCAAACAGCATTACATGCTTCAGAGAACTGTTTTATGAAAGGAAGTCAATCAGTGTGGCAAAATTCATTGTTGTCTTATGTGAATAAATTGCCACAGCCACCCCAACCTTCAGCAACTACCACCCTGATGAGTCAGTAGCCATCAATGTCAAAGCGAAACCCTCGCTCTACCAGCAAAAAGATTATGACTCTCTAAAGGCTCAGATGATTGTTAGCAGTTTCTACCAATAGGTATTTTAAAATTAAGGTATGCACATTTTTAAGACATGCTGCTGTTGCTATGCTATTGCTAAGTATTGTTTATACTATGACTACAGTATAGTATAAGCATATCTTTTATATGCATCGGGAATCCTAAGGATTTGTGCAGTTTGCTTTATTGTGATAATTGCTTTATTGCAGTTATCTGAACCTGCAGTATTGCTGAAACAAGCCTGAAAACATGACTTGGCTGAACTACACATTTGTCTTTGTTGGGAATTCTATAAAAATAAAAATGTTCTGGAAATGAATTGTTCAGTTTTCATTTTTTATTATTACCACATGAGGTCACTATCAAGTACAAAGTAATTTTTAAAAGTACAGAATATTTTTCCCCAAGGTTTTTATATTTTATCTAAAAATATATTTTTGTGTTTATATGCCAGAGGGGAATGTTGACACTGGAATTTAAACTGGTCTATCTTATTCTGAAACATCACATTATGGTAAGGTAAATCCTTAACAAACACACTCCTCTGTTTTTAGAAATGGTGCTTCCTTTCAAACTTGAGAGAACTTTTGGTTTCAATGGAGCAGGAAACCTTACATTAGTGATTAAGAAAAGAGGGTCATTTACTTCTTAAATAATAGTATCATTAAATATAGTGTAAAAGTTTCTTCTCAGTGGATAGAATCATATTAATTATCTTACAACAGGTAA